GAATCCGAAGGAGGCTACGCCGAAGGACGGATTCTCTTTCGGTGTGGTAAACCGTCCCTGAACCCGTTTATACGGCTTCAATGGGCATATTTTTGATCGAGCCCACAGGATCGGAAAGGCCACGTTAAAAAGACCTTGTGCCACATGACGCCCTCGCCGGGGGTGACTGAATATCGTCAGTCAGTAGTTCACTTCTGAATCGACTGTTCGGTCGAACTCTCTGTCTTCAGGCGGGGAGGAACCCGAACGAGGCTACGCCGAAGGGCGGATTCACTTTCATGGTGGTAAACCGGCCTTGAACCCATTTATACGGGTTCAATGGGCATATTTTTGAGCCGAGCCCACGGGCTCGGAAATCCCACATTAAAAACGGCCTTGTGTCACATGACGCAACACTGGGGGGGGCGGACTGAATATCGTCAGTCTGTAGTTCACTTTTGAACCGATTGTTCAGTTGAACTCTCTGCCTTCGGGCGGGGAGGAACCCGAAGGACGCTACGCCGAAGGGCAGAGTCTCTTTCGGTGAGGTCAACCGACCCTGAACCCGTTTATACGGGTTCAATGGGCATATTTTTGGCCGAGCCCACGGAATCGGAGTGGCCACGTTAAAGAAGAAATCAGACATCTCTATCCCAATATTTCTGGCATCTAAAAGAAACGAATAAAACACCAAAAGTAAAATGGAAAATAATAAATAAAACAAGAACCTGTAAAACCTGGGATGACCCATGCCCTTTATGCTTACAGGAAAAACTACACATCATTAAATTTCTAAATAATGAAAAATTATTAAACCATAGGCAGAAGTTAACGGTTTTTTGCAGACATCAACAAACTTTCGCATTAAATAATTAGCATATAAAAGAAAAAAAATCCCATAGCTAAGTAAAATTCTTAAAAGCAAAGCCAAATCATTAAATAGGAAAAACCCCTTTTGTAGTCGTCAAAAAACAAAAAAAACAAATTGAAATTCAGTGCAATGCGATCTGTATATAAAACACCCCTTGAATAAACAAATAAATAAATAGATAATCAGATGGACAATAATAAAAGACAATTCCCCAGACACATAACGATTGTAGGCGCGCCATAAAATATCCCTCACTGGGAACTAACTAAAGGGTGACCGCAAACATTAGCCTTGAAATAGATACCCTACTCAACCTTACCTAAACCTCTTAGAAGATGATGAATCTATTGATAAGAATTAACTCTGACCACTTAACGAAGGTAAATAGTCTAGCCACTCCCACAATAACGAATTCCAAAATGGCCGGACCTAAAAATACACGTAAACCGACAAATAGCTTATTCCTAAAATTTCGCTTGAAGATGAAATGGGACTAAACACCACAATCCAACTTAATTTTAATAATTATTTGGATATTTCAGCTCTCGTTTTGAAACATGAGAACTGTTATGTAGGAAGGAATCATATTTTAAACAAAAAAAATATAATAATATATATATATATATATATATATATATATATATATTAAGACATATTTTAAGTTTTATACATTCTTTTATAGATTCAAATATTTAGTAAATGCTCTGTTTATAATAAACAGTATTAAACAGAGCATTTACTTAAATATTTTATCTATAAAAGAACATATAAACATATAATATGTCTTAAAATAAATTGTCGGACTTTCTCCATTTCATACTATATACATACATACCCCCCACACACATATATATATATATATATATATGTGTGTGTGTAAATATAATATATATATATATAATATATATATATAATATATATATAATATATATATATTTTTGAAACATGCATACATACATACATACCCACACACACACACACACACACATATATATATTTTATATATATATATATAATATATATATAAATATATATATATATATATATAATATATAATTATATATTGAAAATACATACACACATATTTATAATATATATATATATATATATATAGAAAAAGTTTCAAATTGAAAATTATAATGTTTTATTTTATGAAAGTATTTATTTATTTATATATATATTTGATATTTCAAATTGTCGTCAATTTTTCATCAGAAATAACTGTTTGTTACAAATAAATTAAAATTACTGTTTGTTAGCAAGTAGCGTCCTTCGAGACGCGGACGTCACGTGATATGGAACGTCACTGTTCGGATATTCCTAACTTAAATCTAACTGTCATAAATATTTTAAAAAATCTTTACTATATCTAAAAAAAAAATTGCTTAACTATTGAAATATTTATAAAGATTTAAAACACCTAAGTCCCTATTCAACCCTAGTTTATGTGTATTTAATTTTAAAATCCAATATGTTTTTTTTTTCTGCGTGTGAATGTGGAAGTAAAATCGGAATCTATTAATAAACATTTGCAGTTTTTAATATATATATATATATATATATATATATATATATATATATATATATATATATATATATAAGCAAGTGTAACTGGATATAAATCCGACAGAATGAAGAAATTTTGAAAAAACAAACAAAAATCCTTAAATGTAGTTAAAATGAAAAGAAATGTCGACGTCTGACGTTTCGGTTTAATAAACCTTTTTCAAGACAATATTCATCAAAAATACAATTCAGTTCAATATGACAAATACGATGGACATAAAAACACAAGTCTTATTCAGAACAGATAACTGAAAATTTTTTAAAATGATCAGCCTTCCGTTTAACATGGTCACGCTGTCGTCACATGGGCGACGCTTTCATAACGTATTCCTAAAAGTTTGTGATTATTTGAAATGAAATGAAAAAGAAAATGAAAAAGAATTCTATTAGGTTCTAAAATTCTTATGTGTATGCTTGTCGAGCATCAATCTCGCAAAAAAGGGAAATATTAAAAGAAACCAGGTCTAGTATTCACCGTGCGTGAGATGGATATTATACCTTCTTCATAAATCCTCCTGAGATTTTTATTATGAAAATATTTTAATACTTTCACGGAATCGAAATCGAATTATGATCTGCTTTAGTTGTGTGTACAACTAAAGCATTATTAAAATTACCGAGACGAATATCTCGTTTATGTTCGAAAACACGAGATTTTAATGACCTACCTGTTTCACCCACATATTTTAGGTCACAATTTTGCATGATATTTGATAGATGCAAGCATCGGATGTAATATGTTGTCTGCTGGTGCTATTTAATAAACTACGGATAGTCCTAGTAGGTAATATAGTAGTTCTAATTTTAATGCATTTAGATTATGAGAGATACGTTCGGTCAAATGGTTATTTGGTAAAAAGATGCGACCAAACGAAATATTATCAGAGGTAGCTGAAATTGTATCTTTCATTGATCTAGTTGTAGTGGCCTTTGAGGTGTCATTTGCGCTGATGAGTGAATTTTCAACGCTTTATTTTTAGCTCTCTGTAATAATTGTCTCGGATACGAAAGATTTGAAAAAGGTATCCTCAATATATGTAAATTCATCATTTAAATATTTTTGATGAACAGATGCGAAGAGCCCTCAAATAGAATCCAATAACAATACCCCCTCTTAGTGTTAGTATCATGGTGAGAGTAAAAATGTAAATAGTCATTTTTACATGTAGGTTTACGATATACTTTGAATTCTAATTTATTTTTATTTTAATGAGTAATATGTCTAAAAAAGGTAAGGAATTATTAGATTCAAGTTCATAGGTAAATTCAATAGTAGGTTCTATTCTATTTAATCTATCAGTAATCTCGTTTAAATCATGCTTATGTGGGTAGATAAATAAAATGTCATCGATGTATCGAAAGTAATGTGTATCAGGTGGAATGACATCTTTAAAAGGTCCAGATTCAAGAAATTCTAGAAATATGCATGCTAGGAATCCAGAGAGGACTCCCCATCGGTAAACCAAATTTTTGTTTATAATAAATATTATTATATTGGAAGAAACAATGTGAAGTGCAAATGATGCATAATTTGATGCATTTCGAGATAGAGATAGGTAGCTTAAAGTCAATTTTCTTCAGGTGGTTCTCTAATTGTTTAATGCATTTATCAACAGGTATATTAGTATATAAAGATTTGATGTCTAAGCTAGCTAGTAATTTGTTATCTATATCAATATTTCTCAACTTATTTAAAGAGAGCCTGAATTTTTTTATATGTGCGTTACTTACGGTGCCCAGAATTGGAGTTAGAAATTTAGTTAAATACCTAGCGATATTATGAGGAGCTGAGCCTATACCGAGATGATGGGCCTTAATGGAATGTTAAGCTTATGGGTTTTGGGGGAGGCCATAAATTTTAGGGACGGTCGGGTGGTAGTTAATAAGGAAAGCCAAATCTTATCTTCATTACATATGAGTTTCTTATAGGACCTATTAAATTCTTTTAGATTCTTAGAAATTTGTATAGAGGTGATCTGTTCATAAGTGTCTCTGTCATTAAGCAAGTCCAACATTTTCTGGTTTTGTAAGCAATGGTATCCATGACAACAACACCGCCTCCTTTATCAGAAGGAGATATAATAATGTTATTATTCATAGACAAGGATTTTAAGGCATTCATATACCTCTTAGGTAAATTGAATTCCATATTTTGGCCATTAAAAGAGGCAGCTAAAATGCCTTGGGTAAAACCTTTAAGGAAGTCAGAATCACTATGTTTGTAGTTTATATTTATCAGTTTGCTAATATTGTGGTCTTTTGAACCAGTTGCAAACTTTAGACCAAAACTAAGGGCTTCAATCTCCAAAGTGCTGAGTGTGGTTTTGGAAACATTGGTAACTAGATATAATATATATATATGTATATATATAATATATATATGTAATATATATATATATATATATATATATATATATATATATATATATATATATATATATATATATATATATATATATATATATATATATATATATATATATATATATATATATGAAATAAAGGGCGTGAAAGCAAGAAATGAGGTGTTGAGGAAGCAGTGGAAATGATGTAATGAGAGTATGGCAGAAAGAATGTACAAAACTCAAAATAGAAAGAGAGAAGTTTTGAAAAGAAAGAAAGAAAGAAAGAAAGAAAGAAAGAAAAAGCGATTGGAAGCGGTGACAAAAAGAAACATTGACATATTAGAGGTTACAAAGGGACAGCGTGAACGAGAAACTGAGAGAGTAATAGAATTGAGTAATTAAAATTGAAAGAAAGGTATAAACAGTTTTAGGACAGATGGCGTGAAAGGATGGGAAAGATAGATAGATAGATATGAATAGATATTGATAGATCTATCTCAGTCTATAAAATCGAGATAGATCGATAGATAAATATAAACAGAGATAGATAGATATGAAAGATCTGCTTAAAAAGAGATGGATAGATGAACAGATAGATGATAGATAGATAGGAAATAAAAAGAGATAGATAGATAGATAGATAGATAGATAGATATGAATAGACTGATATTGATAGATTTATTATCTATCTCAGTCTATTCATATCTCTCTATCTATCGATAGATAGATCGATAGATAAATATGAACACACTGAGATAGATAGATATGAAGGAATCTGCTTAAAAAGAGATAGATAGATAGATAGATAGATAGATAGATAGATAGATAGATAGATAGATAGGAAACGGCTTAAAAAGAGATAGATAGATAGATAGATAGATAGATAGATATGAATAGACTGATATTGATAGATTTATTATCTATCTCAGTCTTTTCATATCTCTCTATCTATCGATAGATAGATCGATAGATAAATATGAACACACTGAGATAGATAGATATGAAGGAATCTTAAAAAGATAGATAGATAGATAGATAGATAGATAGATAGATAGATAGGAAACGGCTTAAAAAGATAGATAGATAGATAGATAGATAGATAGATAGATAGATAGATAGATATGAATAGACTGATATTGATAGATTTATTATCTATCTCAGTCTATTCATATATCTCTATCTATCGATAGATAGATCGATAGATAAATCTATGAGATAGATAGATATGAGGAAACTGCTTAAAAATGAGATAGATAGATAGATAGATAGATAGGAAACGGCTTAAAAGAGATAGATAGAGATAGATAGATAGATAGATAGATAGATATGAATAGACTGATAAACTGATTAAAATCTATCGAGATAGATCGATAGATAGATAGATGAGATAGATAGATATGAAGGAAACTGATTAAAAAGAGATAGATAGATAGATAGATAGGAAACGGCTTAAAAAGAGATAGATAGATAGATAGATAGATAGATAGATAGATAGATAGATAGATAGATGTGAACAGACTGAGATAGGCATGAACAGACTGAGATAGATACATAGGAACTGACTGAGATCGATAGATATATAGATCTATCCTAATCACAGATATTCTTATAACCAATATACGTGAAATAAAATATTTTAACTGTAGTCGTGGCTACACAGCACTGCTCATGACAAAGATGGCCTCCGTACACAATATTTAATTGACCTCTATCGCCAGTCCAGGAAGGTTGTTTGCATTGTTTACATTCATTCGATGAAACACCCTTGTCTGTGAGTGGGAACACATTGGCTCTGAGCTATGCAAGATGAAAGAGAAAGCGACCTTGCTAGATGCTTGTCAACCACTTTTTCATGAACACTTCGGACAGCAATCTTGTCATTGGCCCAAAGCTGTGTTTGACGAAGAAAAGAGGCGGTTCGATTCCTTGGTAAACCACACTCCCACAAGTGTTTTACCCACACAAACATATGTGGGATTGAGCGTGGTGTTAAATTAAGTCATTCAGAGAATTAATGTTAAATGATTGTTTTTTTTTGTTGTTTGTTCTTTTTTTGTTTTGTTTTTGTTTTTTTTTTTTTTTTTTTTTGCTTGTGGTTTATTTTGTTTTACGGCATAGCAATACCTCAATGGCATATATAATGCCGACGTGATTTCGAGGATAGGTTTGTATGAATAAAATATGTAGTCTTCGTAAGAAATCAGTTTGTAAATCATGGTTTTGTTTTATTTTGTTTTACGGCATATCAACACCTCAATGGGTTATTTATTGCCAACAGGATTTCTAGGATAGGTTTGTATGAATAAAATATGTAGTATTTGTAAGAAATCAGTTTGCAAATCATGGTTTGGGTTTATTTTCTTTTACGGCATATCAATACCGACAAGATTTTTAGGATATATTCGTATGAATAATATATGTATTCTATGTAAGAAATCAGGTTGTAGATCATGGTTTGGATTTATTTTGTTTTATGGCATATCAACACTTCAAAGGGATATTTAATGCCAACAAGATGTCTAGGATAGCTTCGTATGAATAGAATATGTATTCTTTGTAAGAAATCAGGTTGTAGATCATGGTTTCGCTTTATTTTGTTTTACGGCATATCAACACCTCAATGGGTCATTTAATGCCAACAAGATTTTTAGGATAGGCACGTATGAATAAAATATGTATTCTTTGTAAGGTTTCATTGCCTTATTTTTTTGTAAAAATGTGTTTTGTCGAGGGTGAAATGTATTGCTGGCAATATTTTTTTTCAAAAATGTATTGCTGGTATTTTTACTATAAAAAAAGGATTTTTATACTTTCGTAGTGTTTTGACGCCAGTTTGGGGATTAACTATTTTCCCCTAGTTGGAAACCTAACAGGTACTACCACCCCGAGTCAGGGTGGACCCGGGAGCAACTGCAATCCCACGCTCTTAAAAACCTTCCGATTAGAGGCCTTGCTACCGGATGTAGCTTATAATCATACCCAGGACGAGGTTGCTTTTGTTTATGTTATAGTAATTTACCCACGAACGCATGGAATCTCCCAGCTATAAATAGGAGCAGGTACTGCCTTTTGGAGAGGGAAGTTTCCAGCAGTCAGCTCTGACAGTCGGGCCAAAAATTCTTGCTGTAGCACTCTCGTTTGTATATGTTTGTATTACTGTTTCTGTTAATATATTTGATTAACTCAGTTCCTCTCTTTGTGTCTTTATTTCGGGCCACAACATAGCTGCATATCAACATATCTATGGGTTATTTAATGCCGAAATCTAAATAAATAAGCACTATCAATCGTAAGAAACAGAATAATTGTTGTTTATTTGTTTAACGGCACATCAACTCCTTATGTGTCATTTAAATGCCGAAATTTAGGTTTCCTGAATGCTTTGAAGTAATAAAAATATATTTATGTTATTCTGCTTTCACAGTTGAATACATGGTAGTTGATACCCAGCTTTTGTTCTTATACATGTTTGTCTGGACATCATTATTAATAAGTGTGTTTTATGTTGTAGTTTTGCTGAAGATATATTTTTAAATACAGTTAGATTTCTATGGATTAATGTCACTAATTCTTTCATGTTGGTTGTTTGGTTGGCTGATTTTATTTAGCGGCATATCAACCTATATATGGGTCATTTAATGCTGAAATCTAAATATTTTATACACAATTTTATTTTATTTTTGCAGGTTATTTAAAACCAGAAAATTACTTTTTTTTAGATCGTAAGACTTTTTTAAAAAAATAATAGGCACTTTAACTAATGCAATTTCTACTAATTAACCCATAACATGGAGAAAAGAAGTGGAGTCATAACTTTCACAATGGGTATTTGCACGTAAGTGAATATGACAAGTCCTACTAATTAACCCATAGCTGGGAGAAAAGGGGTGGATTCATATCTTTAGCAATAGTATTTTGTTCGTAAGTGAATATAACGAACCCAACTGGAATTGGAACTCGACTTTCCGATTTCCAATTTCGAGCCATTATCCATTGCACCACCCGCACATCCAAGCTTAGAGCACCTGATATTCACAAGCGGTCACCCATTCAGGTACTGACGTTGCTTAACTTCGGTGATCGTACGAGGGCCGGTGTTTCAAAGTGATGTAGCCATACTTAGCTTCGGGGAGAAAATGTGGATTCATAGCTTCCCTAAGGATATTTAAACATAAGTGAATTTAACGAAGCCAACTGGAATTGGAACTCGGCTCTCCAATTTCCGAGTCCGAGCCGTTATCCATTACCTGTAAATCCAAACTTGCAGCACATGGTATTCCCAAGCTGACCAAGTTCGACGTTGCTTAACTTCGGTGTTTGTACGATAACATGTTTCCCATAATGACCAAATATCAAAATTGTTTTGAAATTGTCAGTGTCAGATATTGGCTGCGGAAATACCTTTGGCCTTATTTCCACTGCATCAGTATATTAGCAGAAATTAGAACGGGTGATAGCATAAACAGGAAATGCATCCGGTGGTCAAAATAAACAGGGTGCACAGGTGCCCTGAACGGAAGGAAATGCGTACTTGCGTGGACGCATACCGTAAGAGGTGTGGCCACATGAGGTTTTATAGGCGACATATCGGAAGAATGCCAGCTATGTGAAGTTGCGTAGGTGTTCAAATGTTATTTAACCGGTCCGATTCTTGATCTGGACAGTAAGGCTAGCTAGAGATTAATCGAAGTTTTGTCTCCGTCAATTCCTGTGTGCGCAATCCTCTTGATTCTTCTTCACTCTACCCATTCGCCGCAACTCGACCATTAAAGATATATATTTTTATATATAAGTGTTCGTCAAATAATTTCAGCCCATCAGCAGTATACTACAGTCAGCCCACTTTCCTATGTACCAATTCATGTATCAGTCTATTATTTAATATCAATAGAAAGCTAGTCCTCCACTTTATGTCCAGTTATAAACATATAACTACATAAGGTTATACTGTTTAATAAATAAACGGGGCGTCTATTCAAATATAGGCATCTAATAGACTAACGTTTAAGTAATAAAATATGTGGAATTAATAAATAAAAAGTCTGTCTATATTTCTGAGATGAGGTATTATGTACATTATTTACATTATTCGGACTATTGTCCTCATCTTTGTCGCCATATTTATTACAACGTTTCAGCCCTTCAGTATCTGTCTATATTTCTGAGATGAGGTATTATGTACATTATTTACATTATTCGGACTATTGTCCTCATCTTTGTCGCCATATCATTACAACGTTTTGGCCCTTCAGTATCTGTCTATATTTCTGAGATGAGGTATTATGTACACTATTTACATTATTTGGACTATTGTCCTCATCTTTGTCGTCCTATTTATTACAACGTTTCGGCCGTTGTACGCTCCGGCCTTCTTCAGGTGGTTGGAATGTCGAACTGAACCATTTATTTCGCTCACTGGGGTAGACTGTTCTAGTTCCACATGCCATGTTTAATAGATATCAGTTAGCAGTTATCTCCTGTTAATTTCCCTCTGAAAGTTCTCCACTGCCTTAACCGGGTATTGAACTCACACTCTTTGGGTCCTGTCACTGGATCTAACCAACGCCTTTATCCACTGTGCCATGTATCCTTGAAAAATCTATTGCTTCTTTAGAAATTGCTTTATATACTACTCCAACTGTTTCTTTTCTCGCACTTCGCACCTGTCGAACTCCCCTCGTATTTCTTGCTTCCCTGATAACTACAATCTTCAAATGTTTAAATGGAAAGTCAGTCGCTATCTTCTTGAATCCCGTTCATCTTGTGTCCTGTTCTCAGTCCTCCCTATACTAATGTCTTTTCTCTGACCTTCACTCCCTGTAATCCCTGTGTACAAGTAGCATTTTCGCTTTGTTTGGGGTGAAATGATTTTTTTTTAAATTGAAATACAACCGCTACTTCTACTTCAAGAATTTTTTTTTTCGACTTCCTCCCTGTGGAATTCCCTTCTTATTTCTTACTTCCCACATAACTACAATCTTCAAAAATTTAAAGGCAACGTCAATCGCCATCATCTATTTTCTTGAATCGCGTTCATCTTTTATCCTTTCCTCAAGTCTCCCTATACTCAACCTTTTCTCTCACTTTCACTCCCTGTAACCCACTCCGTAACAAAATACTCTGCCTCTAGCAAAATCTTTAAACTGATTACAGTCTACATTATTTGGACTATTGTCCTCATCTTTGTCGCCATATTTATTACAACGTTTCGGCCGTTGTACGCTCCGGCCTTCTTCAGGTGGTTGGAATGTCGAACTGAACCCTTTATATTGAAGAAGGCCGGAGCGTACAACGGCCGAAACGTTGTGATAAATATGCCGACAAAGATGAGGACAATAGTCCAAATAATGTAAATAATGTACATAATACCTCATCTCAGAAATATAGACAGACTCTGATTACAGTCTATCCCATGCCGGCCTTTAGAAAAAGAGAACAAATGTACAAGCTTTGTGTTTTGGTCCCGCGCACACGAAAAGAATAAAAGAGACCATTTATCCATGAGGATACAAAGGAGAATTAGCTCCCCACCATCATAACAACTGTTCTGACG